TCGTCCAGCCCCCCCTCCTCCTGGCCCCTCACCTTGGTGTGGCCAGCCTTGTCCACCCCCCTGGCAGTGACGAAGGCCATGAAGTCCACAAAGGCCTGGGCATCAAGGTAGTTGGTCAGCTGCGGCCTCTTGACTCCCTTGAAGTTGTACAGGTACCCCAGGTACTCGTGCACCCTCTGCTTGGTGGCCTCCCACGTCTTGGCCCCCTGCTGCCTCATCTCAAGGGGCCTGCCAGCGTTGTAGATGCTCTGGTTCCACTCCCTGAAGTCCTCCATGCTGGCCTTGATGGCTTCCATGCATGCCTCCTTCTCCCCCATGCCCTTGAGGGTGTTGAGGCCGTACCTCCCCCCCCCCACCATGGAGGGTGGAGAGGGGATCATGGTAGGCTTGACCTGGTGAAGGAGCCATGCTGTGGTAGCTTCTTGGCCATCCTGCTGCTGCTCCTCTTCTGCCTGCTCCTCTTCTGCCTGCTCCTCTTCTGCCTGCTCCCCTTCTGCCTGCTCCTCTTCTGCCTGCTCCCCTTCTGCCTGCTCATCTTCTGCCTGCTCCCCTTCTGCCTGCTCATCTTCTGCCTGCTGCTGCTGCTGCTGCTGCTGCTGCTGCTGCTGCTGCTGCTGCTGCTGCTGCTCCCCACCGTCATCCCCATCCTGCTGCTCACCATCATCATGTTGGTGGGAGGCTGCTGGTGATGAGGGCGTGGAGGGAATGATGACGACCTCCACCCTCCCAAGCAGGCTGTCCACCACACCACGTGGCACTTGGGCAGCCCTGAGCACAGCTCCAGCTGCCCTGAGGGAGATGAGCTCGCATTTGGGTGTGTTGGGGCTGATGATGCCTGTGCTTTTGAGGTGTTGCAGCATCCCCAACGTCGCCACCCTCCTCCTGTTGCGCTTGATGGCCTCCAGTGCTCTGTAGAAGCTCGTCTTGCTCACTCCCAAGGGCTGTGCCACCCGTGCCCTCAGCTGGGGCACGACCACGTAGGTCTTCTTGGCAGACGTGTAGGTGTGTGTCATCACAAAGTCCATGGTTGTTGCAGGGAGGTCAGCTCCAAGGTTGACTTTGACCTTCTTGATGCAGTTGCCACCTGAGGGGGGCAGTGGGACAAGTGGAGGTGTGTTGTGGGACAAGTGAGGGGAGAGTGGGTCAAGTGAGCGGGACAAGTGGTGCGTTTTGGGACAAGTGGGTGGGACAAGTGAGGGGTGAGTGGGTCAAGTGAGTGGGACAAGTGATGCGTTTTGGGACAAGTCAGGGGGACAAGTGGTGCGTTTTGGGACAAGTGAATGGGACAACCGGTGTGTTTTGGGACAGGTCCGTGGGACAAGTGGTGCGTTTTGGGACAAGTCAGCGGGACTAGTGCGTGATCTGGGACGGGTGAGTTGTACCACGACTTGTCCCAGGGACAAGTGCGAACTTGTCCCATGTAGGGTTTAGGG